GATACAACAACTTGTACAAGTAAAAGACCTGGCCTCAATCTTCCAGACCTAAGTTATATCGAAGATCGCAAAGAAGAAATATCCTGGTGTGCTGGTAAAGACTGATGAAACTTCCATTGAAAAAAGTCCTGCTTGCTGTGGGAAGAGAAAAAGACAGACTGAATAAGATGTGGCTTTTACTGAGGTAAAAAACAGCTTCAGAGGTAAGAAAGAAGGAGGGAAATAGCTAATGTCAAGATTCCCAGGGAGCTCTTGCAAATTAAGTATGCACATTTTGCTGGGTCATGTAACGAACAAGAACTAACGAAAGGAAAGCTGTGTCCATCTAGTGAAGTCCAATGAATTTTAATTTAACTAAGTAAGCAACATTTCTTAATTATGACCTGCTTTGGAAAACAACTTTTGAATTGAATTGCCAGCCACCATCGATGCGTCAGCATACTTGGACACAAAATGTTAATGAAGATAAAGGCAACTGCATCAGATTTCAAGATATGAAAGTTGTGATGTGATGATAATAATTTATATCTCAATCATTTCCTTCAGCCTTAACCCTGAATCCCTCATTCATTCCTTTTGTATTAAAAACTCCCACAGAACTCAAATCTGATTTTCATGACTGTGTCTACATTTGCTTGAAAGAGAATTTCAGGCCCAAACTCTTCATTTTTAAAAAGATCAGGAACTACTTAACTGTCATGAACACTGTCAACAAGTTCTGACAGCGAATTTAATATTGGTCAAAAAGAAAGACATCTTGGGTAAAAACAGGGTTGGGATCCACAAACCTTCGCAAATTCAGGCAGAACAGATGCAAAGGTCACCCACCGTCCTTTATTCAGGAAGCCAGGTACCAGTTCTAAGGTGCTGTGCTCGTTAGCAGCCACAGCTAAATGTGAGAGACCATGAACCGGTCACAGCACGGCCTAAGCTATGACTGACAGCTGTTCCGCATACTACACAGAGTCTGAAGAAGCCAGACTTGGCCCTTTCTGCTCTTTCTGTCAGTCCCTACAACCTTCAGCGAAAGCGGTGAGCAGGCACCGAGGGAAGTACCATTACCGACCGCACCAGAATGACAACCCACAGTACATGAGGACATGTCTGCATCGGACAACACAGTACAGGGCAGAAGTCTCAAAGCTATGATCGGCTTCAGGCGATGAGTTTACAGCATGGGGCGATAGCCCAAATTTGCAAAACACTGTGTGGGCTGTCCAGGCTTACGATCAAACTGGAAGTCAGGCACCTAATCTGCACAGATGTTTATGAAAATCCCAAGAATCTACCTTTATAGATGACTTTACAGCTTTAAATGATTTGCTGTTAGCATCCATAGTGCCTGTGTCAATTTTGAAAGCGGTATTTAGGTGCTGCTTAAAATTTGACCTGCCCTGAGAAATTTGCAATCATGTACAGATCAGATTAAAACTATAGCTCCTTCCTTGAAATTCACTGAGGGTTGAATTTCCCTGAAATTTTCCTCACATGCATATCTCAGTTGTGAGATCCAAGCATTCCTAGACTGATTTCCAAATCCAACCTCCAACAAAGCAAAATAAGTGTTTGT